CAAATGAATAAACTCAATTATCTCAAAATATAATTTATGTAAAAATGGGCTGTTTCTATTGACAACACCCCATATATTCACGTGATATTTGGCGGACCTATTCTACTTTGTTCTTTGTTATCATATAACTAACTTCCCCACTTTTATTTGATGGTCGTCACTGGTGACAGTTCGTGCCATCTGTTTTAGTGCCGCCGTTATTCGTGTTGCCCTTGTGGTGAAACGGTTGATTGGGAGAGCGATGCATAATGAATGCGCAGTGTAGCTCCAACCGCTACTATAAGTTACGTGGATTGAATGATACGGGTTTCTAAGAGCATAGCAATTCTATAAGAGCGACTAATGCTGATTTGAACTTAATGAAAGAAAATCATCATGACTGTGATGGAAACGAAGTTCTATTTTTGACTATATGAAAGAGAACACGTTTGGAACCTACTTTATGACATCAGAGGCTTCAATATGCACACTGCCTCCGATACTAATTTAGTTAGACTCAAAAAAATAAGACCATAAAAATAATTCATTACAGTGGTTACCATATAGAGCTGATTTTGGTAATTAGGTTTGGGTTAGGGTCAGGATTAGGCGGTTAGTGTTTGGTTTGTTAGATTAGGTATTGGATGATCCAAAATATTGCGCGCAATAATTTTGGATATGTAGTGATTTTTTACTTGATTAAAAAAATAAAATAACTTTTAATAAAGTTTATTATATTGTACGTAATTCGTATCACGTGATTAATGGCACCAAATTATAAAACCCAATTAATATTAGTTTACATTTCCATCTGATCGCTATTATTTGAATCTATCCAACGACGCCAAGTTTTTTTACGTTTAGCAGTATCTTCCTTTAACTTTGACGTAGGTACTGCAGAATTCAATCTTCTAAAACTATCTTCAGTATTGTTAACGAAGAAAACGTGATATGAATTAATACAAATTTTGATTTCCAAACCATTTCGAGTTAATACATTGGACATTATTTGCTCTGAAACATCGACAGATGGTAAATTCCTATGATTAAAAAAATAATAAATGTACGTAAGTGCTTTATTGCCGATAAAAAGTTCAATTTTCGCAATTAGAAGATTATTTGTACTACTGTTGGCCACTGCTTACAGTACCCTGAGTTTTATTTTTACAATTACAATTGAATAGTACTGGATGCTATTCACGAATTCAGAAATCTCATTGGTGGAGAAGGGTGTACTTTAGGTGGTAGGAATTATTTTCGGGGGACACTGTAAGTAGTGGCCACGGTAGTTACGACATAAGCCGTAACACTTTCTACTGTATTTCTACTTGAGAAATAATTTATAATTTCATATGAAAATAATTACCTTTTAAGGAAAGGTCGCTCCGTCTTCGCTGACACGCCTTCAGTAGGGTTCAACGACATGTAACTATACATGTAATACGCCCATTTCCCCTCAGACGAAACTGCATTACCCAATGTATAATCACGCCCTGATAACAATATTGTCAGAGCTCGTTCATCCTTATCCTAGCAAAAATTTCATAATTATATTACTGAAAGCAGAATTTTAAATGAGATTTGTTAGGAAAACCACCTTGGGAGGCTATATGGCCTTGCCTTGAAAATGACCTTATTGAAACTTAGCAATTACTATGTTCCGTGAAGTCATTTTCAAGGAAAAACCAAATTTTGCAAGTAAAATAGATAGCTGATTATCTAGCAATCCAATTTAATTTCCTTTGATTGAACTTATTAAACTTCATTTATCCAGTTGGATTACTAGGTAGCTAAGAAAGTTAAATTTGGTTTTCCTAACAAAAACTCAAAATATTATAAAAATTGAATACGTACATAATCCATTCGATATGTTGGCTCATCATATCCAATAGTACTATTAGCGTGTAATTGATACATTATATGAGATCGAACGCTTGATTGGTCGTGTCTTTTTTTATTATCCTCAAACAAGTTGATCAATGTATTCGACTTTGTATCTGACACTAATAATTGCATCTTAAAAATAAAATTTGTTAAACTAACGATAAATGATATGAACATAAATATGAAGCAAAAAATTTTGAAATTTACTTGTTTAGTCATATTTTGGACAAGTTTATCCACAGTAAACATTATGTATGCTTTTGTGCCATATATATATCGAAGGCATTCCTCAAAAACTGACAATTCCATATCTCCATCAAACTGTTTTTCAATTAATTCTAACATAACAGCATATGGATCGCCTCTGTTCAAATCCATGTCAACATCGGCTAGCAACAATAATGTAAGTAGGATGTAAAAACTGATAAATAATCGAGATTTATCGAAAGCGGTAGTTCGTAATGTTCACGAAAATATAAAATATAATTAAGGGCTTACGATCAATACGATCTGGTAGGAGACCTAATTCAGTGGCTACTGCACTTGGTCCCCTAACTTGAGATGTCGATGATGAAATCTCTTGCGCACTTTCTTTCATTGTTTCGAGACGGCTAAATAACATCTAGTAAAACGAATTATAAGCGAATATTTTATAAAAACAAAAGGAACAATGCTATGTCTTACTTGCAAAAATCGGAAAAAGCAGTAAAAGGAATTATTTCCAAAGAAATAGCACGTTGACTTTTTTTTCTGCTTCGCATTTCCAGCATTAGCAACAACGGCTCGAATATTTTCACGAGATTCTTTTGAAACCTGAATCCACATTCCACTTATTGGTTCCGTATTTAAAGGTTCCCCATCAATATTATCAGTTGATATGTTGGTCGATGTTTCCTCATTGTCAACTAACATAGCAGAATCTTCATGGTTTATGCCATCGAACATAGTTGGTGAAAGGTCAAAAAAGCTTGGTACAAAAGTCTTAAAAAAACGTTCGATCTTTTCACGATCGCTCGGTGCAACCGTTAATGATCGATCCATATAACCGAACAGAATGCGAGCCACATCTTTGAAAACCTCTAAGTCTTTAAAAATGAATTTGAACTGATATTCAGCAGGCTCACCTTCGTCAGAAGGCTCGCGGCGGAGATTTTCGATTTCAGCAACTAAATATTTAGGCGTTAAGGCCTTTTTATCATCATTTTTGAACGTTATTCCCTGATGGTCCAGAGATTTGTAATAATTCTTGGCATCAATCTCTCTCCATATTTTATTCCATTCTCTCTAATAATAATAAATAACATTATTTACATAGTCATTTACAAAAAATAAATTTGAACCAATTAAAGGAAAATACAAACTCTCGCTCGTTTCCATTCTTCATCTTTTTGACGAAGTCGTTTGAGTACTACCGGAACGGCAGTACACGGATTATTATGTAATGCGTCAATGACTTCAAGACCTTTTTCTACGTCATATACCTTCTTTATAATACGCTGATATATCATTGATTGTCCTCCTAGACCAGGTTCGAGTTTAAATTTAGCCTTTTCTTCAGGCGTCAACTTTGTATTAATCTTTTTTTCGATTGGCTCCAATAAATGGATTGTATGAAGATTAGCCTCAATAAACATATCGTATTCGTATCTAAATGAAAGGAATTGATAATGTAAGGTGTAATATCAATGAATATTAAAGGAAATAAAACCTGAGCTACAAAATAACAATGTCAAAAAAATATTAAAATATATAGACCTTTCCTCTTCACATTTATGCAGAGCTTCTTCAAATTGATTCTTCTTATGTGATACAAATCCGGCCTCTTCGCTAGCCCACGTAGGATGAGATACCCATTTGTCATTTAGTACTTCATAACATAGTTCATCTCTACCAGAACAAGGCATGTTGGCCTCCTTTAAACGACATCCCAATATACCATGTTTAGATATTGTCCGTAAAATCAAGATTCATTAGTATATTAACAACTGAAGACGTACCGAATCAGGTAATTGTCTATAACTTGGTCCATATGAAATGCATCCTTCCAAGTCAACACGTGGCCTGGAATTAGCTGTATTTTGAACTATCTCGTCTCTCTCGTTTAATTTAAGGAACTGTTTTAACCAAGCATATAAGTCGGAATTCGTCCCTCCCAAAAAAGGTGCCATATATTTGAGCAAAGATTGGCCATCCAAAATTTGCTGACTATACAAGTTCAGGAGCTTAAGGAATTCGTTATAGCTATGTTTATTTGAAATGTACCTCTTGGCTTTCTCAAAGAATTCTAACTCTTCAGTGGATGCCAGAGGCTGCGGCTCCAATACTTTCTGTGACTCGAGTTTAACTGGTATTGATGATGAACCTGCATGAACTTGATCACCTGAGGGCTTGTGAGATAACTTTGATTTCTTGGACTATGGATCAATTATTTCAGTCAAAATAGCAAATGATACATATTTAAATTAACAACAATGTCATACCTTGCTAGATATCAGACTAGGACTTCGATCTGAGTTGGGAAGCCCAGATGATCTTTTTTTCTTGTTTACGTTTGAGGAGCCAGTAGAATTTGGACCAACCACAGCCCCCAACCCATTGTTTGTCGATCCAATACTAGAACCCTTCTTGAATGTATCGTTCACTGACAAATTAACAGATGATTGTGATGGGAAATTAACGGTCGGTAATCTAGCGGCTCCGTGGCCTGCAATTTATTACGAGTATGCACATTAGCAAATAATGTGAATATAACGTGAATCAAATAATTACATAACTAACCGGAGCCACTATTAGCAATCGCTGAAATGGCAGGTAATAAATGTGATTGTTTTGGCGTACCATGATTTTGAGGAATAGGTCCAAATAAACCACCTGAAGCTACATTACCAGACGTGTCGGGTAAAAACTGCTTGAATTCGTCCAGAAGATCTGGCGCGTTTTTAAAAAGCACTTGAACTTGAGAGTAAACCTTTTGTAAATGAAAATTAACGTTAACCATCCTAAAATTTCACACATCAGGCATTAACATTTACCGAACAAAACTACTACCTCCTGAATTGGCTTTTGTTCTTTCTGGTAGGTTTGTAATATTTCTAAGAATTGCTTATAAGTGTCCGGCTCTGTCGAAAAACGATTCTTAAACGTAAAAAAATTTTCATCATCGGTCTCATATGAATTAATTGCGATACGATAAATTACGATATTGAATTTCTCACTATCAACCAACTAATCAGCAAAAATTGCAGTGCTTACTTTAATCTTATTCACATAGTTGATAGCATGATTAAATTCGACAGGTGCCTTTTTACCTTGCTGCTGAGAAGTATTTTCAGCAACACCAAGTCCCACTGACTGCACTGCCTGTGCAATAGTTTGTTGAGCCACCGATTGTCCTACAGATTGCTGAGGAGAACCCATACGATAAGAAACTGTTTGTGTTGGCATAGAAGAACCCGGAGGATGTGGTTGTAAAGTTGGTATCAACGAATGAGGTGGAGGATGTGGGTAAGTAGCATTTGAATAATATCCTGAACTTGTAATATTGGATACAGTAGAAAGTGTCGGTCCATGGTGTGGATCCATGGGACCGATTGATGTAGTTGTAGTTCCGCTGGGTGTTGTAACACGGATGGAATCGGGATCATGAGGATTTGTTGAACACTCAATATGATACCCAGGAGGTAAAAATGTATTGAATCCTTGTATCAAAGCAGGATGTCCTTTGAAAAGGGTTGATACTCGCTCAATGACGCCGGGCGTGTCTATTGTCTGACTTTTAAAGTCCTTCATTATATCAAGGAACCTATTGTATACATCCGGCTGCTCTGAGAACTGCACCTTCACCTGATCAAGATATGACAGGGCATCTTTAACGTTTAGAGCCTGCTTATTATTATTTTGGGACATGGTAGGCAACCTTACTACCTAACTTTGTTTTTCGTCGCTTATACTGTTAGAAACAATGATCATAATTCCAAGTGGATAAATGAAATATTATTTATAAAGGTCTGGTTTGTCACGTGATTAAGAAGCATGATGCATGACCAATTGAAATAATAATTTGATAATCTGATAATCTTATTAATATATATATATCTGATATATACTGTATATACCCAGATACACATTTTCGGATTCGAAATTAGAACCATTAGCCGGGTCGAAAATAATGACTCGAATTAAACTTTTTAATCTGTTAGTATATTACGAATGAGATAACTAAATTTTTATATATATAATTTGATTTTTTTCTAGTATTCAAATCCAAATATAAATTCAATAATATATATAAACATAGTATATATCGATATTTGTTTTACCAAAATTGAGTATCGGATATATTAGTATGATATATGAGTATATGGTGGTGAGTAAATAGAAATCAAGCAAATTTTTTATAATAAAAACTTTTTATAACTTTAAGCAAGAATAACTTAACAAAAACATAACCAAATTTAATAAAAATTTTTTTAAATAATTTTTATAAACTTGTAGAATTAGTTTAAAAAAAATTTATCAAATTTGATCAAGTTTTTGTTAAGTTATTCTTGCTTAAAGTTTAAAAAAACTTATTAAAAAATATTTGCTTGATTTCTATTGACTCAACCTCATATGCAAACTAAAGAAACTTTTTTTTTACTTATTTTTACTATTTTGAAAACTGCAATAACAGATAATATAAAAATTTGGTTAGTATAATGTTAGTTAAGTATTTATACAAATATATATATATGTAAAAAGTATAACCAGATTTTAGTTATTATTTGTAATATCAGTGCTAAAAAATAACTTATAAGATTCATACTAGCAAATTATATTGTGTAAAAAAGTTACAAATACATATATTTACTATATTAAACTAATAATTGGTTTTTTTTAATATATAAAGATAAGTTAATAAAAATTAAGCAAATTTTTTATAATAAAAATTTTTTATAACTTTAAACAAAAATAATTTAACAAAATTCTTAATCAAATTTAATAAAAAATTTTTTAAATAATTTTTACAAATTTGTAGAATTAATTTTAAAAAAAAATTTATTAAATTTAATTAAATTTTGTTTAAGAGTAGGATATATACATTAGCAAAATATATAAATATAAACTTATGTAAATTATTACACCTTGAAATATTGCATAATATTTATGATTTAGGTATAATATTTCAAAATAAATTACAAAATATTATGAAATATATTTTAAAATATTACTAAAAAAATTTGAAATAGTATGCAATAATTATAATAAAAGTGAAATAATTTAAAATTAATTATGTTTTTATCAACTCTTCCCAATGATCTCTCGAACCAACTTTTTACAACAAAAAATTTTGATAAAAATTATAGAACTATGTTAGAGAAGAAGAATATAAGACTAACAAGAACCATAAACTAGCATCTATTATTTAGAGATAGTTCTCATATGCTATCTGCTAATAGATTTAGAGCTTATTACTCACTGTAGAGACGATACTTGTTATTTAGAAGTAGTTTTTATATGCTACTTGCTAACAAGTTCAGAGTTTATCACTTACCAAAAAGAATATC